TTTATTTAAGTTCAGTTTTTAAAACCTTAGGACGTAACTACAGCCCAGCCCATGCAGCTGTATATGAATGACTAACCTCGTATTGTGGATGGATTATCTCAGTTGTTCTCCTGGCTGAAGTTTGGTCCTTTTACAGCATCCTGCCATGCGATTACATTTGTTCCTGACCACCGAGAACACTCACGTTAACTTTTATCGAGTGGAAAAAAGTTAGCTTGTTTATATTATGCTAACATAGCTGTGTCGCTAGCGGTCACGTAGCACATCTTTATATACCAGCTAGCCAAACTTCAGTAACCCTACAAACGTCACTGCTGTTTAGTTTTCTGTCTTCATTTATGTTGCAAATGATAACAGAGCTGTACGTTTGAATTTGTTTCCAAAACCCCGCAGTCAGGACATGCTATATTGTATTTAGATAGAAGCTAGCGAACTAACTTCCTGCTAACTTCTAACTCCGTTAAATGTCATAAATTCAGTTTTCATGGATGCCTGGATGTTAAACTCAATTGTTACACCTGGTAGAGCAGAACGCTGATCATTTTATTAAAGATGAAAGACTTTAGACAGTTTTTCAACTCTTACTACTGCCATAGTGATCGTTTGATATATGGACCTGCAGCAGAGTTTAGGCCCAGACACGGCTAGTAACGTCAGACTTAACGACCGGATAGTGACATTCATATAACTTACATATGACTGTTTGATAATCTTGGACTCTGCAGTTGTTTAAACAAACCTCCAAGAGACCTAACTAACTTAAATCTACAGTTCTGCTTCTTAGAGCTTTGATAAATTCATTGAGTCATTTGAAAACCTTCAGTACCACAGTATGCTTCAGTATATACAGTTCTATTGAAATAGTTTTAAAAAGCCCCAAATTACTATGACATTTGTGCCTGTGATGAGTAGGGATGGGTATCGTTTAGGTTTAATCCGATACCGGTGCCAAACCGGTACTTTTGAAACGCTGCCGGTGCTTAAACGGTGCTAAAACTGGTGCTTAAAGAATGGAGAGCACAAACTTTGTCCAAAAACCTCTTATGTTTTTATTTTTAGCAGTCTCTTTTTGGATGGAGATCTCTGACTATAAATTTTGTCACTGCCCTATGAATTTCGTCCACTCTTTATTTGGTCATTTTAGCCTTTTTGGTCAAGGTGAAGGGAGTATCTGCCATCAAACAAGAAGACAGCCGCATGTAACTACGATGGTGTAGTTATGCTGCTGCTGCCATCATCATCTATCATCATTTCTGCTACACTAGCAGGGCTAGGGGCCAGGACTCTCCCCTTCGGGTATTGGGGGATGTTGCTAACTCCGGGTCCGATAACATGCATCACACCCGCAGTAGATGTGCTGGGTGTGAGGTTTTTCAGCAAGCTATCAAATAAGGTGCATTTTTCGGCTTTTAAAAAAACGCTATGCGTTGCCAGGTGTTTCATCAGATTCGAGGTATTACCTCCTTTGCACATTATCACCTTAAAAGCACTTGTTGCAGGCTGCTGAGTTTGCATCTTTTGCTGTGAAGTACAGCCAAACCTTTGACCGCTTCGCCTTGGGCATTTTTAATCTGTAGCTCTGCTCTAAAAGAACATACGTACCTGGGCCCGTCTACTATCCTTGGAAAGGTAAAATGATTGGCTACAATCCAAAGTGTATGACATCTCAGGGGGGAAAAAAAGCACCGAAATAAAGCACCGAGATGCGCGCTGCTTTTCTAGTTACTACCGCCATAATGGCACCGGATATCAGTACCCATCCCTAGTGATGACAGTGATTTACATTTCTGGTGTGTCATTTGTTGCAGAAAAGCAAAGTCATTTCACTCTCTGATACATGTAATTGTTTAATGCAAAAATTTTAGGAGCTATGATTTCAGAATCATACTTAATTGACCATATAAGAAAAAATAATTTCCCTCTCGCCCCTGCGGGTGGTCTATCCTTCAAGCTCGGTCCTCCACCAGATGCCTGGGAGCTTGAGGTTCCTGCGCAGTATCTTAGCTGTTCCCAGGACTGCGCTTTTCTGGAGAGAGATCTCCAATGTTGTCCCTGGGATCTGCTGGAGCAACTCGCCTAGCTTGGGAGTCACCGCACCTAGTGCTCCAATTACCACTGGGACCACTGTTGCCTTCACCCTCCATATTTTCTCTTGCTCTTCTCTGAGCCCTTGGTATTTCTCAGGCTTCTCATGTTCCTTCTTCCTGATGTTGCTGTCATTGGGAACCGCTACATCTATCACTACGGCCGACTTCTTCTGTTTGTCTACCACCATTATGTCCGGTTGGTTAGCCACCTACAATTTTGTCCGTCTGTATCTGGAAGTCCCAAAGAATCTTAGCTCGGTCATTTTGACCTCAGGACTTCCAGGCCATATTCGGCACACGTTTCTGTATACTTTCCTGGCCACTTGGTTATGGTGTTCCATGTATGCCCTGCTAGCTAGCATCTTACACCCTGCAGTTATGTGCTGAATTGTCTCAGGGGCATCTTTACACAGTCTGCACCTGGGGTCTTGCCTGGTGTGATAGACCCCAGCCTCTATGTGCTCAGAGCTTGTTTCTGTGCTGTCATGATTAGTGCCTCTGTGCTGTCTTTCAGTCCAGCTTTGTCCAGCCACTGGTAGGATTTCTGGATGTCAGCCACTTCCTCTTTCTGCCGGTAGTAAATACTGTCCAGAGGGCTGTCCTTCATTGATGGTCCCTCCTCTTCCTCCTCTTTCTTGGGTTTCTGCTGCTTGAGGTATTCACTGAGCACTCGGTCAGTTGGGGCCATCTTCCTGATGTATTCTTGGATGTTCCTTGTCTCATCCTGGACCGTGGTGCTGACACTCACCAATCCTCAGCCTCCTTCCTTCCGCTTAGTGTACAGCCTCAGGCTGCTGGACTTGGGGTGAAACCCTCCATGCATAGTCAGGAGCTTCCTCGTCTTGATGTCAGTGGCTTCTATCTCCTCCTTTGACCAGCTTATTACCCCAGCAGGGTACCTGATCACGGGCAGGGTGTAGGTGTTGATAGCCCGGATCTTGTTCTTACCATTCAGCTGACTCCTCAGGACTTGCCTGACCCTCTGCAGGTGGTGGTTGCAGCTGTCCTAGCAGCCTCTTCATGGTTCCTATTTGCCTGTGGGATCGCCAGGTACTTTTAGCTGTCCTCTATGTCTGCAGTGTTGCCGTCGGGGAGTTTGATCCCCTCAGTTCTGACCACCTTCCCTCTCTTTTTTTATCATCCGACCACACTTTTCTTGTCCGAACGACATTCTGATGTCATTGCTGTATATCTTGGTGGTGTGGATCAAGGAATCAATGTCTCATTCACTCTTGGCATACAGTTTGATGTTATCCATGTACAGGAGGGGCTTACAACTGCTCCATTCTGTCATCGATATCCGTAGCCAGCCTTGTCAATGATCTCACTGATGGGTTCGGGCCTATGCAGAACTGCAGTGGGGACAGAGCATCTCCTTGGCAGATCCCTCACTTGATGGTGACTTGTGCTATGGGCTTGAAGTTGGCCTCTAGTGTTGTCCCCCACATCCCCATTGAGTTCCTGATGAAGGCTCTTAGGGTCCTGTTGATCTTGTATAGGTCTAGGCGTTCCAGGATCCATGTGTGGGGCATTGAGTCATAGGCCTTCTTGTAATCAATCCAGGTAGTGCACAGGTTGGTCAGTCTGGTCCTGCAGTCTCGGCTGACTGCTTGGTCTACCAGTAGCTGGTGTTGTGCGCCTCTGGTATTCTTGCCCATCCCTTTCTGTGCCCCACTCATGTATTGACCCATGTGCCTGTTCATCTTAGCCGCTATGATGCCTGACAGAAGCTTCCACTTGGTGTTGAGGCTGGTTATTGGCTGGTAGTTGGATGGGACCGGCCCCTTCTGGGGGTACTTGAGGATCGGGATTGTCCGACCTTCGGTTAGCCATTCCAGGTGTCTCTCGTCAACTAGCAGCTGGTTCATTTGTGCTGCCAGACGCTCATGGAGTGCAGTCAGCTTCTTCAGCCAGTAGGCGTGAATCATTTCGGGGCCTGGTAATGTCCAACTCTTCATACTGCAGACCCTTTCTTGGATGTCTGCCAATGTGATTGTTACCGGACCCTGTTCAGGGAGGTTGCTGTGGTCTGCTCTTAGATCCACTAGCCACTGAGCATTGCCCTTATGGGTTGCGTCCTTCTCCCATATGCTCTTCCAGTATTGTTCTGTCTCCAGCCTTGGTGGTGCTGTTCTCATATTGTTCCCCTGCCACTGATAGCTGGTTCTGTGGAGAACAGCTGGTTTATTCTCCTGCCTTTGATCTCTCTGGTGTTCCTCTTGAAGCGGCTGGCCAAGGCTGTGAGTCTTTGCTTGGCAGTTTCCAAGACCTCAGGTATGGACGGCTTGCTGTACTTCTTAGGCATCTTCTTTGTTGCACCTTTTTGCAGCTCTGATAGTTGGCTAGCCTCCCTGCATGCTACCTTAATCTTGGCCTCTAGTCTCCTTCTCTATGGAGGGTACTACTCTTTGTGGCTGTTCAGTTTGTAGCCAAGCATCTCAGTGATCACTGCTGCCATGGTGTAGATCAGCTTGCTAGTCCCGGGAATGGTGGCAGTCTTGGTAGCCAGCTACGGAGGATCCAGGTTTCAAGCTTTACCATGATCCTATCTCTCAGGTCAGTTCCTCTTGCACTCAATGATCCTTCTTCTATTGCACTTGGGGCTTGGTACCCAATCTCAGGTGGGGGTGATGATATCTCCCCCTTGACCTGGCGTCCTGGCAAGCTTGAAGGATAGATTGCCCGCAGGGGAATTTCTCTCTCTCTCTCTATCTATCTATCTATCTATCTATCTATCTATCTATCTATCTATCTATCTATCTATCTATCTATCTATCTATCTATCTATCTATCTATCTATCTATCATTGCATTGCTAACATCTAGCATGCTGGGGATGGTTATTCCAACAGTAGGATATCTATGATTCATTTGAACAATTGTATTGTGCCCTAATTGGTTTGTCCATTTCCAGGATGCTGGCAGGGAGACATGTGTGTATCCTCTCCCTGAGCCCCATGACCTGTTTCAGGCTTCGCAGCTGAAATTTGAAGATTTTCAGAAAGATCTGGCACGACTCAGGAAGGATCTGAGAGGTAACACATGTAGCTGCATCTCAATCAGATTAAAGGACATACATTTACTGTATAAGCATTCATTTCCTGGAAACTGACCAATACCCATTACCTGACTACCTCTCATCATTCAAAGGTGAAAATGATGATTTGCAAGTTTTTGAGTCCATTTAAAAATCAAACTAAAACCATTTGGGGGCATTATAGTGGTTTTACATGATTCATACTTCCATGCGTGCATGAAATATATTGATAAAGCTGAAATGGTTCATTCAATGGTTGACTGTTTTCATTTTCTCAGCATGCATATCAGAAGTAGAAAAAGTGTGTAAGATTTCAGATGAGGAGAACTTGGAACCTTTCAAAGAAAAGATGGATGATTTCCTCAAACAAGGTAAATTATGTAACCCCCATACATACATACATACATACATACATACATACATAGATGCATACATGCATACATACACTTATTGACATGATATCACCATGCAGTTGCTGTAGATTTGCAGGTTGCACATCCGTGGTGTAAATATTGTGTTCCTGTCAAGCAGGTGCTATATTGGATGGTAGTACAGTCTGAAAGTATGGTATTGTAGTGTCTTTACAGTACAACATAAAGCATAAGCACACGTAAAGCAAGTATCCCCTCGGCTTGCTGCCTGTACTTTGGGGTTTCTTCCGGTGGATGAGAGGGTTTGTTCCCTGTGCGAGGGTCGGGGAAGGGGTCCTGACTGTCATCTGCGCTTATGCGCTAAACAACGGTTTAGAGTACCCAGCCTTCCAGGAGTCCGTGGGAGGGAGACTGGGGACAGTCTCCCTCAGAACATGGTCCAAATGGACCATGTTCAGCATCTCCATTGCCAAAGCCAAAGGTGGTTGGTGCCTGTTGTTGTGGTAACCTCCCTTGTGGTGGTGCCCATCTTTAAGAAGATGGACCAGAGGGAGTGGGGCATCACACTCCTCAGCCTCCCTGGGAAAGTCTATGCCAGGAAGAAGAGTCTGTCTGTTGGTGGAACCTCGGATACAAGAGGTACAATGTAGTTTTCGTCTTGGTTATGCAACACTGGATCAGCTCTTTATCCTCTCGAGAATACTTGACGGTGCATGGGAGTTTGTTTTTTTGTGTACTTTGGAGAAGGCATTCGACCGTGTGCTGTGGGAGGTGGTTCCTGTGGGAGGTATGGGTTGTCTGGCCCATTGCTACAAGGCGTTCAATCATTATACAACCATTGCAGAAGCTTGCTCTGCATAGCTGGAAATAATTCTGACTCGTTTCCAGTGGGTGATGGACTCCAGCAGGGCTGCCCTTTGTCACTGATTCTGTTTGTAATTTTCATGGACAGAATTTCTAGGTGTAGCCAAGTGGAGGAAGGCTTTCACTCAGAATGTCTTCTCTGCTTTTTGCAGATGATGTGGTTCTGTTGGCTTCATTGGGTGATGGCCTCCAGCTCGCACTGGAACCGTTCGTAGCTGAGTGTGAAGCAGTTGGAATGAGAATCAACCCCTCCAAATCTGAGGTCATGGTCCTCAGCTGGAAAAGGGTGGAGCGCCCACTCTGGGTTAGGGACAAGTTCCTGTCCCAAGTGGAGGAGCTTAAATTTCTTAGACGGATTGGTGGATTTGGTGCTGCAGTGATGTGGACACTGTACTGGTCCATCATGGTGAAGAGAGAGCTGAGTGTAAAAGTGAAGCTATTGATTCACCAGTCGATTTATGCCCCTACCCTCACCTACGGTCACGAGCTGTGGGTAGTGACCAAAAGAATGAAATCATGGATACAAGCGGCAGAAATGGGCTTCCTTTAAAGCAGGGGTGTCAAACTTAAATACACAGTGGGCCAAAATTCAAAACTGGATGAAAGTCGCAGGCTAACATTAATATTCATTGAAAAAAAACTCTTCCTCCAAATATAACAAGGAATCTTTTCTTATGGACTCAAACAAGTTTTGCTGAAAAACTGAATATGGAACAAGCAAAGCTTAATACTAAACAATATATATAACTTATATAAACGTATATATAATTTAATATTGCACACATGCAAAATCAAAATTCCAATTAAATAACACATCAGTGGAATTAATTTCTTAATTAAATTTGTATTTGCAGCCTTCTGAATTAAATTTTATCATTTTATCATTTATCAAATTTTCATCATATTCTCCCACCTGTCCAGAAAGCTCCTGTTTTCTGCCTTTCTTTTTGCCATTTTGGGATAGATAGCATGGCAGTATTTGCATGGTTGCTATGACTATGGTTAACAGAGGAGAGGGTGCTAATGGGTCCTGTCATGACTGACGTGCCAAAACACCAACAGAGCATTCTGGGAATTGTAGTATTAGCAGTACATGCACTGTATAATACTGGCAGGGCAGCTCTAATGGTAATTTTGTATGGCTTCGCGGGCCAAATGTAATTAGGCGGGTGGTAGGGTGGTTCGGGCATTTGACAAGGATGCCTCCTGGGCACCTCTTGGGTAAGGTTTTCCAGACGTGTACCACCAGGAGGAGGCCCTGGGGCAGACCCAGGACACGCTGAAGGGATTATATCTCTCGGCAGGCATGAGAAGGCCTTGGTGTTCCCCCGGACAATTTAGAGGAGGTGACTGGGGAGAGGGAGGTCTGGGCTTCTTTGCTTAGGATGCTGCTTCTGCAAAGTGGCCCCAGATAAGCAGAAGAAGATGGATAGATGGAACTGATTGTTATTGTACATGAATAAAATTGAAATGAAAATTGACTTATCAGACCAGGCAGCATTTTTCCAATCAACTGTTGTCCAACTTTGGTGAGTTCATGTGATTTGTTGCCTTAATTTCCTGTTTTTTAACTTTTTAACTTAAAAAGGTAATCTTGATTGTGTCTATATACCATGTGATTCACTGATTTGTTTGCACGAATGAGCAACTGAACAGATGTACCTAACAAACTGCATGGTGAGTGTATCTAGTGAGTGGGATAAGATGCCTCAAATCACCCTTTCTAATGTGTTTTCAGTAATTTTCTTGTGCTATAAGTATGATTTCTTGTGTTTTTGGAGAAAGAAGTCCTACCATCAATTAATGCTTTAATTTTAAACGACCCTTTAAGATTAAAGCATCAGCCTAAGCCTAAGGTGACCCTTAGGCTTAGGCTGATGGGGGCATCCCACAATGCACTGACTAGTTTTTCATTCACTGTGTGGTTACACACCACTCTGCACTTAATCATTAGTTGTTGTTATCAATCTTTGGCTCTGTTACGCAGTGTGTCTTTTATCCTGTCTTGCTCCCATCACCCCAACTGGTTGAGGCAGATGGCTGCCCCTACCTGAGCCTGGTTCAGCTGGAGGTGTCTTCCTGTTAAAAGGGAGTTTATCCATCCCACTTCACCAAGTAGAGTCTTTAACTTAAAATATAAAGCACCTTTAGGCAACCGTTGTTGTGATTTGGTGCTATATAAATAAAACTGAATTGAATTGAAATTGAAAGTGTCTATAGTATGAGTACACTTGAGGACAGAGCATATAATTTTCTACTGTAATAAATGGACATTCATGATAGCAAATCCAATCACTGTCTCATGATTTACACACATATTGACTTCATGTATTGTTCCTCCTTTCTTAGCTAAAAGTGAACTGGAGATGCTGGATTCTCAACTCAGCAGCACTCATAAACTGTAAGAGCGACCTTCTTTATTTGTTATATTTGTGACAGTACTGTCTCTTTAACATATATCATCTAATTTCAGAAAAACATTAAAACATTGCACAGAACTCCAATACCATTACATTTTGACTGGTTTGTACCAACCAGTTATCCCCACCGCTGTGTAACAGACGCAAGTCAGCAATGTTTTTTAGACTACATTTCACATATAAAGTGTGCATTTCTATCCTAAAGAGGCATTAATGACACAAGTTATAGGTTTGTAAACAAAGATAACCTGGTTTGAATCCTTTTTTAATTACTGCATTTGGCACTTTGTACTCACTGTTTACATATAGGAAAAGCTATTGGTTAGGAATAAAATATGTCAAATCACCTGAGAAAGCCTACAAATTGAAAACTTGGATAGAATTTGTAGGCTATTCCTTTCCCTTTGCCTTCTCCTCCTTACCCTACCCTACAGTTCCTTTCATAATCTTTATTCATTAGACATGAAGTGTCATATATTTCAGGCCTTTTTAAATTTTGATTATGATTCATCAGTAATTATTTTAATATTTCATTTTGAGTGCCAGAAGTTTATTATTCAAATAGCATAAACACTATATACACTGTATTGCCAAAAGTATTCACTCATTCATCGAAATCATTTAATTCAGGTGTCCCAATCAGCTTCCATGGCCACAGGTACATAAAATCAAGAATGGCTTGCTCTCAGGAACTGTGAAATCCATAATGGTACAGTGATAAAATGCCACCTGTCAACAGGTCCACTCATGAAATATCCTCACTATTAAATATTTCAGTAGCAGATGTTAGTGGTATTGTAACATAGTAAAGGGACTGGGAATAACAATTCAGCAACAAAGTGACAGGCCATGTAAAATCACAGAGCAGGATCAACAGATGCTGAGACACATAGACTCATAGCTCTGCCAACTTTCTGCAGAGTAGATCCCTACAAACTTCATGTGGCCTCCACGTGGAATTCAAAGACATCCTGAAAATAAAAGTGAAAAAATGATGCAGCAAGATGTATGCCCCCTCACGTGCTTGTATGCATGCCTCACAATGTTGGGGCGTGTTCCTAATGAGAAGAAAGCTCCAAGACAGGTGCAAGCCACTGCCTGGCCTGTAGAGGTCTGTGCGTCTGTCCATAAATATGCCTCCCCAGACTATCACTGACCCACCACCAAACCGGTCAGCTGAATGATGTCACAGGAAGCATAATGTTCTCCATGGTCTCTTCAAACCCTTTCACATCTGTCATGTGTGCTCAGGGGGGCAACCGCTCTCATGTGCTAACATCACCTGGTGCCAGCGGTTCACCTGCCAAGCCAAGTCAACTTTATTTATAAAGCACTTTAAAAACAGCAACCAGTGACCATTGTGTGGAACATAGCAATAAAAAATAAAATTGAAATAAATAAAATAAGTACATATAAAATAATGACTAGAATTAAAATTACAACACAAAATAAGAGCATTGACAAATGCAAGATCTAATTAAAATGAATAAAAACAGTCAAAAAAATAATTTAATTTAATAAATAAATAAAATCAACAAATCTCACACTGCGTCCAATGACAAGCAGAAGAGGTGGGTCTTAGAGAGGCCTGTCTAATGTGAAACAGCAATGAATTCCCCAATTTGGGAGCCACTACAGCAACAGCATTGTCTCTGAACCACCACTATGTCCTTCGCACATCTAAGAGCAGTTGGTCAGCTGATCTCAGTGATTGGGAAGGGGAGTGTTTCAAAGAGATCTTTTAACAGCATGTTTTTTGTTTTGTTTTGTTTTAGCCAGCTGTCTCAGCTAAAAGAAGCTAACCCTGCACTGATCTGACTGCTCAATCTAAAATCACTGTCCATCCTAAAACCCAAGTTTGTAACAGTAAGCTTTACATACTGTGCTAGCAGCCTGTGTCTACAGGAAAAGACCCACCAGTGACACCAAATTCAAATTTTATTTGTCACACACACACAACCATACACAGTATGACATGGGGGTGAAATGCTTGTAGCTGTACAATGCCCGACCATTAAATGACAGAAAAAGGTTTTACAGTATTTACAATTTACAGTTTACTACAAAATTTACAAATTAACTTAGAAATTTACAGTAAAAAATGTGCAAATAGCAGAAAGAGATTATAAGGATTATAAATCATAGGAAATGTGTGGTGGTGCGTGTGGTGATGTGTGTGAGAGTCCAGTCTTATAGTGACGTGTGTGGGAGAGTCCAGTCCTACACCTGGTTCAGGGCCCGACTAGCCTGGGGGAAGAAGCTCCTCCTCATTCTCTCTGTTTTGGCTTTAAGGGAGCGGAAGCGCTTCCCAGACCTCAACAGTGAGAAGAGTCCATTGTTGGGATGGGAGAGGTCCATCATAATCTTCCTAGCTTTGGACTTGCACCGCTTGGTGTAGATGGACAGCAGGTCAGAGAGCTCTGATTGAATGATGCGTTCTGCTGAGCGCACCACCCTTTGCAGATCTTGTCTGTCCTGCTTGGTGCTGTTCCTAAACCAGGTGCAGATGTTTGCCGTCAGGACGCTCTCGATGGTGCAGGAGTAAAAGTTCTTGAGCGCCTTCAGTGGCAGATGGAAGTCTCTAAGTCTTCTGAGGAAGAAGAGACGCTGACGGGCTTTTCTGGACCTGACACAACAACTTCTGTCTTATTTTTATTAAAATTTAGGAAGTTTAGAGCCATCCACACTTTTAACTCCTCAAGGCTAAAACTAAAGTTTTCATTGAGTAGGCATGGTTTTGTGTTAGGGGTACGTAAACCTGTATAACATCTCCATAACCATGGAAAACAATTTTGTGCTTTCTAAAAATAAAACCAAGGGGCAGCAGATACAAATAAGATACTAGAGGCGCAAGTATCAAGCTCCATGGAAGGAAAAGGAGCAGAGGAAGATCTGAAATCATGTAGCCCAACCTATAAAGTTTTCTGATACGTGTAGGATCTGAACCATTCCAGAGCAGTGCCACAAATGCCCTCACAGTGCTCTAAATGAGATATTAAAATAAGTCTAGGACAGGGGTCGGCAACCCTAGGCAGGGTTAACTGATGGCACGACCATAGCTGGACTAGCCATCGGGCATACCGGGCATTTGCTTGGTGGCCCGATAATTTTCTTTCTTTTTTTTTGTAACGGTTTAAACAACGAAAGGTGGTGGTTTGGCCAGATGCTGGCTGGCAGGTGGATCAGGGAGAGGGGAGGCAGGAGGAGCAGAGACCCGAGGCAGCCGTCGGTCTGACTGTCAGGTGAACTGAACTTCAGGTAAGAAGTTCTGACCTGCAGTCTATCTGGGTCAGATATAAACCAAGTTTAGGTGGAGTTTATTTTCGTTGTGCTGACTTTTTACAGTCAGTTACAATAACTCGTACTGCGTACTAGCTAGCATGTTATATGTTATTGCTAGCAGTTTCTATACAGCTGGGTGGGTGCTACGGTGTTACTGATAGTGAACGTTATTTTATTCATAAGGTTAGTTAGTAGAGTTGCCTACCGTCCTGTAAAAAGACAGAATCGTCCCGCATTCAGAGAAATTATTACGCGTTTTGTGTTGAGCTGAGAAGGGACGCAGTTTGTCCTGGACTTCAGCTAGGATGGAAAAAGACACAGAGGTGGAGTTATTCTGCTGCACAGCTGCCTCTTCTTCTCCTCTCATTCTCTCCCTCTCCTGTTGCTACTTTAATAATGAAACTGATCAAAGGTCAGCTGATCGGCTTTTCTCTCTTGTTTGTTTATCACCCACTTTGCGCCAGATGTCGCGCTAAACAACAGCAGCATGTTTAAGCTTGATCAGCTGTTGTTAGAATTTATTTAATATTAGTTTCTAGTATCAGCTGATGTTTGCTGGAGCCACAGCTGTAAAGCTGCTGGTCATGATGTCGGTTTGGTTACTGAATTATCAGAGCTGAACAGGTGATGGAGAAACAGGTAGTGATGGGCAGATGAAGCTTCATGAAGCACTGAAGCTTTTCATCCAATTGGTTCACCCCAGTGCAAAGCGTCATCATTTTCAGCTCCTCCCATAAATGAAGCAAGCCTCGATACGCGCATCGCGGAAACGCCCCCTCAATTTCTCAACACAAGCTTCGCAGCCTCGATACAGAACGTCACATCACTAGAAACAGGTTTACCTTTTAGGTGACATGAATAAGTTGGAGGGAAGTTATGAACTGTTTCTGAGAGACAAATAACACCAGGATCCTTTTCTATGTAGCTGACGGCTGGTAACTGTGCAGGGGCGGATCTAGCAAAGTGTTGCCAGGGGGGCAGGGAAAGAGGGGCACAAAGAAATACTTTCTTATTCTCATTTAAAATGTCTGGCTGTTATTAAATAATTATCTGAATCTTACAACCAAAGTTTTTATCTGACATAAAATGTATAGAAATCATACATATCCCAACAACACTGTCACAACAGCATTTGTTTTCATTCAAAGGCTTTATGGCTTTAATACCTGGTGGGCCGGTCTTTAGTGAAAATGCCCGGGCTGGTTTTTTGTGTCCCAGTCCAGCCCTGGGCACGACACGCAGTGAAATAATCTGAGAAGGTGCATCAAAAAATAAATGGCCGCGCCAGCGGTGCTCATTGCAAATCAGCTCACATTACACACATTGGTTGTTCCTCTTCTTAATGACAGTATCTTAGCTAACAACCCCAGCTACCAGATTCAACTTGTAATTGGCTAAAAATAACTTAGCCTACTGGTGAGAGGGACGTTGTTAGCTTTCCACATTCCGACACTTCAAAAGCTTCAGAAGCTGTCCACTCAGCACAGCATCAGCACCACGGAAATACACGGATACATCTGTAGACTCGAGACACAAGGCGTCTTTGGGACTTTCAGGTGTATGGACCAATGTTTTATTTTCTGATCAAACCAGAAATCTTTAATGAGCAGCTAGATTTGTCTCACATTAACTGGCTGAGTTAATGCCAGTTAATGCAACATCGAAGCAGCTGGAATCCACAGCTCTGAGTGTTCATGGAGCTGCATGTTCACCTGCTGGACATCACTACCTGACAAGTTTAACTGTCTTCAGAACATTGCAGAGGCCTTATTGACAGTATTTGGCTCTACATATCTGTGTGAGCAGATTTCCTCTCACATGAGTGTCCTCAGGTAGCCTCTGAATGCTGGACACTCGCAGACCTGTGTCTCTGAGTGGGAGACCAAAGATCACATTAACATGTGTGTCTCTGTATTAACAAGCATGCCATATTGGCCCAGTTTATTTTTCTTATTATTGTTGTGAGGAGACCATAAATAGCATTTGTATTTTCCGTTGTACAGTTCATTTGCTGTTATGAGTTCTTGTTATGGAGAAAAAGTGTCTTTTTATCCATAACATAACAAAATAGCTGATAACGCTGATAGCTGCCAACATCTGCAAACAAATATAATTCTAGAAAGTTGTTCTATATATTGTGTAACTGTTCATATAGAGCGTTATTAAATTTATTGCTAATGCAATCATATGGCACACTGACTTCTGAGGAAATTTTAAATGGCACTCGCCATCAGAAAGGTTGCCGACCCCTGGTCTAGGAGAACTAGCATCATATATTTTCCTGAATCTATATAGCCAGGAGTATGTCATTAAATACCCTCAGCAGTGCAGATTCTGTGCTAGAGACCAGATTAAAAAATACATTGTTTTAATTAAAAAACACCTTCAATTGACTGTAAACAGAATTTCTGAAAGAAAAGGAAATATTACTAATAGGCCTAAAGTTAAATAATTCAGTATCCAACTGTCCAGGCCAGGTTTTTTGATCAGTGGTTTCACTGTTGCATGCTTAAAAGGTTTAGGAACAGCTCCTGAGTACAGGTAGCCCAACCAGTAACATTTTCTGAACCAAATTAAGCCAACAATTCTTTAATATTTGAACAACACCTGCAGTGTGCCCTTTTTCAGCTGTCTTTCAGCTTTTCGGGATTCACATCTGACAGCACAAGTTGTGTCAATTATCCAGGGCTCAGATTTGGTTTCAGGGTGCCTGGTTTTTAATGGAGCCACAGTATCTAATACAATTTGGCAGGGTGAATGAAACTAGGAGCAGAGCGTCTCTGTATCTGAAGACACAGACTCGGGAATCCCAGATTTCAGATTGAAATAAGCAGAGAAATGCGCAGTTCAATAATATGACAGTGCCACGCAGGGGTGTGAGGTTTAACAGGTTTAACAGGGCAAGGCAATGTCAAATAAGACAGGCTTATGATCTGAAAACACTTTATCACAGATGGTTAAGTCTGAAACAGACAAACCATGTGTTAGTCCAGACACCAACTGTATAAAATTAAGGGCCAATTAGGCTTAAAAAGTCCTTTAACCATTGGTTTGTCAGGACAGCAAATATGTACATTAAAATCACCAATATTAAAGACTTGATTATATTTAGGCATGACTTCAACCAATAATTTAGAAAAGTCATTTAAAAAGTCCTTATTACATTTATGTGGTCAACAGATCTCAGCACATAACACAAGGTGAGAGTGACCCAGCTCAAATAAGCTCAGTTCAGAGCTGGAGAATGGAGACACTGATGGAGATAGCACCTTACTTTTTGTTTTTAAGATGCCATAGAAAGGTGCACCAGACAGGCCTTCAGCCTCACCAGCGTACCGCTGTGTCGCCTGCACCAACAGTGATGCTTCCTCCAGGAAGCATTGTAATCAGAGTGCAGGAGAGTTAGTGATAACTGTCAAAAACGGGAAAAGTCTTTTGGCCACCATGAAGACACTTCACTCTGGCAGAAACTCAAAAATGCAGGAGACTATGATAATAAACCAGTAGAGTTAAATTTTGAGTAAGTAATGCATGGCAAATCTTCCGGAATGGCACTTAATAATATGCCATCGTGGATGAATTAAACTACCTGTGCAGCGTCTGTAGGGTCCAGGTATTCTTGCTACGGGTGCCTCATGCTACCAGTAGCAAGAAGTTGGACATTTCTTTTTTTATATTTGAAATGCTGTATTCTTTATTTTCATGAGTTACAGGCTATAACCGTCAACTGAAATATCTCACTTGTAATGAATGCTTTTCAATGCTTAGCATGATGACGTATAGTAGACGTCAGTATAGTATATAAAGAAAAAAGTATCAGAGCATGAACACTGCATTTCTTTTTTTCAGCCTCTCTCATAGTCACTGACGTTAGTGGTTTCAACTCTGTGAAAAATTTAAACATCAGATTAATATCCATTACATTTTGAACATAAAATGCTGTTACATTTCAATTAATGCATCTCCGCACTGGATTGCTTTTGTTATTGTTCTTCTTTCTTATTACTGGCATTGATAACAAAAATGGAATTACTAGCTACATTATAAAGCAATTCTGATAAACTCATAGAAACATGAACAAAGTTTATTAGCAAAACAGTCCTGAAACCACTCACACAGAACAAATTTTGTGTCAGATATATATTAAGGTGACAACTGGTGTATTTTCAGGTTCCTGGAACTTACAGTGTTTTTCTCAGTGAAGGCCAAAGCAGGAGAGAAAGAGGTTTCACCTAACATATTCTTCTCCATTTGGCATGAGTTCTCCTCTGACTTCAAGGACCAGTGGAAGAAGGAGAACAAAACCATTCTCAAAGAGAGGTACAGTTGTTTCTTTATCCATTCTCTTCAGCTTTCTGTCTTGCATCGTGTCATTAAACTTAGCTGTTGAATATGCACTGTGTAACTGCATTAACATTGTATGTTTTGCAGGTTAAAAGCAGCAGAAGAGAGTTTCCGACAGGCCAAAGAGAAGGCATCCTACAGTGTCAAACCTAAACAATCATCGGGAATTGTACGTTGACGTTAAGCTCTTCTTTATTCTCTTTAATCAAAAGTTTGTTCTCTTTAGCTAACAAACTAAAGTTTTAAAATGTATAACTTTTTTTTTTCTTCATTAATACACTAAATACATCTCATAAGGATTTTTGTCTTTGTGCTGGGAGTATCCACTGGGAAAAACTGGCAGCTCTTCCTATCTTTACTCCACATCATTGAATCTGCATAAGTCTGTCTGAGGGACTCCTTTTCAAATTTAGTTTTAAGACCCAAATGATTTTGGCTTATATTAAGCTTTTTGCTGTAAAGTTGTATATTATAAATTTTTTTATTTATTTGTATTTCTGTATTTATTTATTTTTTGTCAATGCAGTAACACAGGAACCCTGCAAAGTGTTTCCTATGGAACTGGATGGATGAATAATACTCAGTTAATCTCTCTCTCTGTCTTTCTACAGAAAGCCAAGCTTGGCATGAAAATTTGACATAGTGGGCTTGGCACGCTTGTTTTCATGACTTTGGACACCAGCAGTGAATCAACCACAAAAGTATGAAGATGACCGACAAGAGAATTAAGCGACAGAATAAATGAGAATGACCTACAATATGTGCAGACAAGCGATCTCTGGACTTTTTTTCTCATCGTTATTTTTATGTTTGGTCACATTTGCCTGCTCTGTCTGCCTGTTGCTTTAGATGACTATTGGATTCAACAGAATCATGAAAAGATGCTCCTTCAGGGCCATCAGGTGCAAAATATTTACAGTAATCATCAGCATCCCTTGTCTATGGAGCCCAGGTTTAACTGATAATGTAATACACTCATAATCATTAACACCATCAAGTTTCCTAAATAAGTATTTGAAAAATAATTAAAAACAATAAGCAATTATTCCTAACGACACTGACCTTTATTAAGAGCAAATGAGGCCAGTAAGATGTGATGGAAATTAAGCACTAGTGACATGATGGTATTGGATTTACTATGGAAAGTACTGTTGTTGCAGACTTTATCTAATTTTCAGTTAAAAAATTGGGTTCTTGTTTTTATACTCCAAGCAGTAATCCATAATGACTGTGAACCAATAGAACAATTTTTTGTTCAAATATCCATCCATTCTGCTTCTCTGGGGCTGGGTCGCGGAGGCAGCAGCCTGAATGGAGACGCCTAGACGTTCCTCTTGCCAGCCACTTCCTCCATCTTATCCGGGATAACACTGAGGCAATCCTAGGCCAGCAGAGAGATGTAAACTCCTAGGTCTGCCTGAGGACATCCTGACTGGAAAACCTTACTTAGTAGAGCTCTAGGAGACATGCTCATCAGATGTCCGAACCCACTCAACCGGCTCATTTCAATGTGGAGTAGCAGCAGCTCTACTCTGAGCCCCTCTTCATGTCCTTACCCTCTTATCTCTAAGAGAGAGGCCAGCCACCCTTCAGAGAAAGCTCATTTCTGTCGCTCGTATCTGTGACCATAGGTAAGGATAGGGAAGTAGACTGATTGCTAAATCATAGCATCATGTTTATGCTCAGCTCTCTTTTCACCACGATGGACTAGTACAGCATCTGCATCACTGCAGCTGCAGCACCAGTCTGCTCTCCTCACTACCTAAACTCCTTCACTTGGAGCAGCAACTTGTCACTCACCCGCAGAGGGTCAGTGACAAGTTCACCCTTTTCTCACTGACAACCATCGCCTCAGATTTTGGAGATGCCGATTCTAGTTCCCATCGCATCACACAGCTGTGAAACACTCCAGTACGAACGAGGCCACTACCTGATGAAACCAAAAGAACAACAATGTCTGCAAAAAGCAGAAATAAAATTCTTAGGCCACCAAAGTGGAAGCCTTCCACCAACTGGCTGCAGGGGCAGTCCCTGTGGAGTTTAACACCCACCGGAAATGAATCTGACTCATTGCTGGCAATGAGCTCATGAAATGCTTTTACAGGGACCCAAATGGCGTGCAGCGATGGGAGTACCCTTACTCCCGAGTCCCAGGTATTTAAACCCTAGTGGTAGTTATCTCTCAAGAGATAACTAGGGTTGATCATGTGTCGTATGTTCTGGACACTCGGGTGAAAAGCAGAACTGAGCTGGACTGATCACCACCGTGTGGTAAGTTAGATAACGCAGCATAAGGTGTGCCCTGAGTTATTAAAGGCTCTGGATGTTGTAGGGCTGTCTTGGTTGATATGCCTCTGCAACATCAGATGGAGAGCTGGGTCGGTGCTTGTGGATTGGCAAACTGAAGAGGTGCTTCCCATCTTTAAGAAGGGGTACCAGAAGGTGTGCTCCAACTGCAGGGGGATCACACTCCTTAGTCTTCCTGGTAAGGTCTATGCTAGGGTACTGGAAAGGAGAGTTCATCCAAACAGGCCTTCAGTGAAGCTGGTTCTGTTTTGTAACGAGCTGTCTTGCTGTAGTCTTCTTCAGACAGTCTCCACTGCCTGGGTTATAGGTATGTAAGTGATGAAAATGAGACCACACCAAAGAACACTATGATCCAGTGTAAGTTTTTGAATCTAGTGGATGAAGTCAGTAGTTTTCAATATGAAAGGGGGGTGTTCCACAGGAGGGGAGCCAGGATGGTGGTGAGGAAATTGGAAACTTTGTAGGTGGCAATTTAGTATTAAAAGCACTGTGTGAATGTGTGTGCGTGCTTTAAACGTTTCGATCAGAAAGCCTTGAAAAGAGTTACTTTATTTATAAAGTTTAGCCTGTTTGAAGGCAGGAAGAAAACTGGCAACAATGCCAGTTGTGTGAGTTACACTTATCAATATCACAACTTTATCATTAAGACACAGGAGAATCTGATGGGTTATAGTCAAGTATTCCAATAACATTTATTTCCAAATTGGCATGGGGCAGTTTTAGTTTTTATTCTTTCGGCTCTAGTCCCAGTCACGATTAATGGTCTGAGAGCGATTAAAGAATAAATACAAAAAAACCCAGCCCAATAACAGACACTATTTTAGATATTATTTTTAGACACTAGTTTAAAATTTTAAACCCTTCTGTTCTCTGTGCACAGAGTTCCACAGGTATATGCTCTATGAATGGTGCTGCTGTCTTTTGGACACTTGATTGGTCAATAGTAGTTTCATACTTGTTGCTATCCAATCTGGAACCTAACCTGCTCCGGATAAGGTTAGGTTACCATAGTGAGGTAACCCAGTAAGAAATCAACCACCTTTGTAACACAGAACACATAGGGTTAACCCCCCAGGTTACCTGAATAAGACAAAATCCTGTGTCTACAGGAGTCTCATTGACTAAGGACCTTTTGACAATGACTTGTGACCCTTATCAGTCCAACTTCTGCATCCCATTCTAATGAACTCCAATTTTGGTATTTTAAATGTATTGACTCAAGTCATGGACTCTGCTATTGAAAGTATTAAACACTGGAGTCAAAAATAATATCAAAATCAAGACCTTAAACAGTCCAGCATTCAGAGTTCTCTCATCTGACAACTTCAATTTTATTTTTGTGAACATTCTTTTTTTGTGGTTTAGGAAAAAGAAAGAGAGAATACTGATCTGCAAACACTGTATGGCATTATGTTTGGTTCACAAAAAACATTTCAGGAAAATGTAAGCCTGCAAAGAAAAACTCATGATCGGTCTTTGTAAAACACCCATATGCATCTGGATATTTAATTTCTTCTCTTATGTATTTACTGGGACAGAACTCTTTGTAACTATCAGATGATATCACTATGATTGCTGTTTACTGTAGGTTTGGTTTTCTTGTAACTGTGAGTGAGAGTGTAAACCATTTCCAGAGATTACACAGAGCCAACCAGCTTGCCTGTGCTGAAGACTGGCACTGATAATTGCATTAGAAGATACTCATGGCTATACTGGGCTTTAATGTGTAGATTCTGACTGTAACTTGCCATCTTTTAAAATCAACAGAAATACAGCCATAGACACATCCTTGTAAATTAAATCATCTCGCCTCAATAAACCTCTCACTTTGTGATTCTGCATCCTCAACACCATTCAGACTGTCTTTTAGCAGAAAATCCAAGTCAGCATACATTTGTACAGCTGGTATGCCAAATCTGACAGGCAGCATTTTGCAGGTGTTGCAGAATTAATGTAAAGTAATAAAATGTTAAAGAAATAATATGAGCATCAGCATGATGTTTACAATTGCAATCTAGTTTGGGGCAGTGCTGTTCCAGCATCAGGCTGATCTAGCACAAAGTATGATGTGGGAACTGTGAGTGGCTTGCAAACATTGGAGGAGTGGAAACACTGCGTGCAGGGGGGGTCAAGCAACTGTTTTTGATGTGGAAAAATAAAAGAACTTGGAATATCTGAGATCAATCCAAGGCTCAACTTCCATCCCATCCAGGTGGACACTGCTGTTCACCCAGTTTGAATTTTGCCCTTTCCTGTTGTTCATTGTCAAGCCAGATACCTTGTGCTGTCAGTTAGAGCCTGACTTGCGTTGCTCACCTAACTTTCACCAGAAAGTACACACACTGGGTCTGTGACCCAGTGCCATGACAGTTTCCAGCAGTTTCCTTTGTGATTCTTTCCTTATAATGCTGCTTTATTGAACATGTGCTCAGCATCAGTTCTAACAACACAACAACAGGTACGACAGCTAAGAATAAAACTCCCACTAGGCAGCCCTAACGCAAAAGCATATCAGATGGCGTAAAGCCGCAATGCCCCCCACAGCTCAACACAGGCACTAACATAACCCAGTATATGACACCTTCTTCTTCCAGCGGTCTCTATATCATCTGCCTACATCATCCGCTTTCCCTAGCATCCTCCTCTGTCACACCAACCCTCTGCATGTCCTCTTTCACAACATCCATGTATCTGTTCTTCATCTTTGGCTCCTCCCTGGCAACTCCAAATTCAACACCCGTTGTCCATTATATCCACTATCTCTCCTCTGCACAAGTCCAAACTATCGTAGCCTTGACTCTCCTACTTTGTCCCAAAACTACTCCACGTGAACTGTCTGTCTGATATGCTGATTTCTATTTTTTTTCATTCTAGTCACTCCCAATATAAATCTTAACATCTTCAGCTATGCTGCCACAAGCACAGTGCTATCATTTCAAACCATAAATTAAAGTAGGTTTCACTACCATCTTGCAAATCCTAACTCACGCCTGGGATGGGTATCGTTTAGGTTTTATCCGATACCAGTACCAAAACGGTACTTTTGAAATGGTGCCGGTGCTTAAACGGTGCTCGAACTGGTGCTTAAAGAATGAAGAACACAAACTTTGTCCAAAAACCTCTCATGTTCAGCTGGTTTTTTTTTTGTAAAAAGATAACAATGTTAGTCTTCTCTGCAGCTATAGGGCATATATGGTATCACTCCTGGCTGGAAGCAGTGCTTAAACAATGGAAAAAACACAAACTTTGTCCTAAACCTCTCATGTTTAACTGTTTTCCACTTTTTCTTTGGTCATTTTAGCCTTTTTGGCCAGGGTGAAGGGAGTATCTGCCATCAAACAAGAAGACAGCCGCATGTAGCTATGATGATGTTTGCTAGTTCACCTTACATGCATTAATGTAGTAACGTGGTTAGCCTACTCAACGTAAATTACACACGAACAACATGAAGTTACTCACGCAGAGAAGAACGGCTGCTGCTGCATCATCATCCTCATCATTTCTGCTACACTGGCAGGGCTAGGGGCCAGGACTCTCCTCTTCGGGTTTTTGGGGGATGTTGCTGACTCCGGGTCCGATAACAGGCACCACACCCGCAGTAGATGTGCTCGGTGTGAGGTCTCGCAGCAAGCTATCAAATACGGCGCATTTCTCGGCTTTTAAAAAAACACTATGCGTCGCCAGGTGTTTCATCAGATTTGAGGTGTTACCTCCTTTGACAGTACACTGTAAGAAGTCATCTATAGAATCTACCCAATAAATCTGAGGTAACAATTTGCATTGACTTTTTTGGGGTAGATTTAGTTCAATATATTGTGTATAAAATAACTTCAATAAAAAGCTATGAAATAATTAAATTGGGTAAAATTTACCCCATATTTATGTATACATTCAACAGCTGCTTACTCATTGAAATGAGGTAAAATTATCTCCTGTTTGCTAGTTGGTAATACCTGATAATTACTAATAAAATTTAATTATTATCAGTTGATAAACATTACCTATTCATATAAGGTAAAATGCACCCACCCCCCAAAAAACAAATGGTTCCTCATCTCAAAGTTTTTATTCCATAAAAATACAGAATAAAGTGCAACACAACAGCTAATGCAGACAACACTTTCAAAGGCCACTCAGTCCATTTTAAAAGCCAAAAGCACAGAAACTCTACAAGTTGTTTCTGTGCATGTACGTTATCAAACAGATAGAACAGAACACTAACACCAACATGCAATAGTTTCTGTGCTTGCTGTCAGAAGAAAAATTACAGCTCCACCAAGCTATGTCCTCTGGGAACAAGAGGGGAAAGGTGTGTGCATTGCATAAGCTTATTTTTGAGGCCGTGGACCCTTTTCAGTAGTTTCCCCCCGTCAAGTTCCAAAAGCAGTTTTTGAAAAGTGTCAGATGTGTTCTTCAGCTCCTTCGGATATTCGAGGTTGAGGGCATATATCAGTCCCATCAGCAGTACACACGCCTTTGCTCGGCTTCCACATCCCTCCATCACTTGGTTTCCCTCAATCACAACGGACACATCTGATGGATCCTCCTCAGCCATGATGTTGTGGATCACGATCACCTTCATCATATTGTCTGTGTAATCCTCACATTCCTACATGTTAAAAAGAAAGAAACAAAAAGCATACACATGTTTTATTTTATTTAAGATGCTTTTTCAATATATTTCAGTTGATCTGAAGAGGGGAGTGGACACGATGGATAGAGAAGGGGAGAACAGGGGATAGGAGAGGACAGGAGAGAAGAACATTAGGATCCCTTGAGTTAATAAGTGAACTGTTATCAATATGACAAACCTGGCAGTCATGAAAAAGATCTTCTTGTCTTTCCCCGAGGTAGCTAATGAGGCAGCAGATAAGGAGATCCCTTTTCTTCTAAATGCTTTGTGTCTGTAGGGAGATACAATTTAGTGAAAAGACTAAGTCGAGTGATTTACTTACATTAAGACTGAATTCCTTAAAAACAAAAACGTGGCTGATGCCTCTCTCCAGCTTTCAACAGGTGAGAGGCTGGGTACACCCTGGACAGCCAATCACAAGGAAACATAGAGACATACAGGATAAACAACCACGCACACACTCAAACCTAAGGACAATTTGGAGAGACCAATTAACCTGACAGCCATGCTCTCTGACTGTGGGAGGAAGCTGGAGTACCCGGGGGGAACCCACACATGCACAGGGAGAACATGCAAACTCCATGCATAAAGACCCTGGGCCGGGATTTGAACCCAGGACCTTCTTGCTACCCACTGCAGCCCTCCATAATTACATATTTGTGAAAAAAGTCAAATAACATAGGTCATTCAAAGTGTCCAGCAGAGGTCTCATCTTGGAACCAGCAGCTCCTCCTTTGGCAGGCATAAGCTGCAAAAGACCTGGTGTGTACTCATCAAGTTTCAGCATGAATGTCTCCACCAAAGAAACTGTGGTGATGCGTCTGAACTCTTCGATGAGCTAAGAAGTAAAGGGACAAAAAAATGACATTTCAATTTGTTGACATTTGTTTGACATTTGTTTTTTGGTGGAAAGGAATAGTTATCACACATACTCACCTGAGCCTCAGTGAATAATGCTGGCCACCTTTCTTTTAACTCACCCACAGAGGGGCAGAGGCTGACCACTCCAAGTCTTCGGCTAGAGAACGTTTTATTCATTTTTTCTGCAATTATCTTTGCGTTGTTTTTCTTTGTTATTTCATAAATTAATTCCAGCCTCTCTTTCTCCAGTGTCTCTTGGGTTTCTCCAGTAGGATGCGGAGGGAGATAATTAACCTCTGCTTTTTTTTGGCTTTTTTACATTCTTTGATGGCACTGCATCAGCTGGATGCTTCCTTTTTAAGGCATTAATTTCAATTTCCGGGTAAGAAAATTTTCGAGATCTTAGCTTGGCACGGTAATTGTGCATCTTGTTTTTTATGCGCTGCTGCCAGCCATATAAGCCGGCAAATGATCCTGGCTCCTTAAGACACGCAAACTTTGAAACCAAGGCTTCAGGCACTGAGAGGATCTGCTGATTGGTTGGGTAAGCAGTGTACGAAAAAATTACTTTTGCAAGGTCTTGCATTGTTGCTGATTTAACACTGGCATCCATGAAAGGTCTTCCAGTGTTGCGATATGAGTTGTTTGCCTCAGCGAGGATTAGTTGTATGTCTCGGGAAAACTCCGGTACTTGAAATGGCACTGGCCACGCAGCAGGGCGACATGAATCAGGGAGAATGATGGTGTCACTGGACCTTGACGATGCGCAGTCGGACACCTGTGAGGGTGCATCATGACTGGCAGGGCAGATGTCCGTTTCAGTAGTACTTGCAGGATGGGTGCTCACTGAAGTCGAAGAGTTCAATGCAGACGATGATCCTGATTCACATGCTGGTTGTAAGTCAAGGGTGATTACTGGCTCTTTAAGGATCACTTTAACAATGGCCTTGTCATACAAGTCAGCAGTCGAGATGACACTGAAAAACTGATTGTCAAAGTCTTTGTCTTGGTATAGCAGTCCAAATTCCCCATGTATCCCCGTCCACTGTATTAGGAATTCCTGTTGGAAGTGTCAACTTTTGAATGCTGTGTTCTTCTAAAACGACTCTTAACTGGACTGCCATTGTTTTTTGGTTTGTGTTTCCTCAGCTGTAGAGACAGAGAAAGAAAAGAAATTGAGACAGGTTATTAATAGTTGATAAGCTTACATGCATATATTTTCTTCATTATCTTCTGCCAGAGAAATAAAAGCAGAGATTTAGTTCAGTAGAATTTGGAATAAATAATTTTTGATTGTCATTTTAAGAAGAGGGAGATAAGGGCAATAGAATAGAGGAGGGTTAAATGTGCATCACGTTTCCATTTTCTTTTTCAATGTTATATGTATTGTTCCTGTTAAATAAACATTACAATAAACAAATAAGACAGGACGCCCGCCCATATAGTTGTTGGTAAAATAATATATTTTTTCAATAATTCCAATAAGT